CCAGCAAACACTGATTCCTAGATTTCCAGGCCAGAAGGGGCCATTATGATAATCTATGAAGATGTCCTGCATAACACAGGCCACAGGACACTTTTCCCCCCAGTAATTCTTGCATAGGGCCCATGAGGCAGACCCTCAGCTGTAAATTGTCAGAGCTGCAGTAAGCTACTAGAGCTCTGTTAATTTACACCAGCAGAAGATCTGTGCCCATAGCTTGTGGGTGAGCTATAGCATGTCTTTCAGCAAAATGTCCAGTGTGGATTTTTAAAGACTTTGAATGACGGAGGATCCATCATACCCTTAGGTCTTCAGCAAGATCTTGCTAAGCTTCATCTAATTATGCCTTTTTCTGCTCGATTAAAGAGCTGTTTGCGGTCAGAAATCTCTTTCCCGTGTAGGTATTTAAAGACTGTGATCAAATATTGACAGGGAGCCAGCTGCAGCAGGGGCAGTCTCCTAGCAACACACTGGCCACAGGGATCCTAATGGGGGCTGCCTGATTGACTTCACTTCCTGCTTGGTGGAGGGGTGGAGCTAGCTACTATTTAATCCAGCAACAGCCAGCGCTCGCTGACTGCTCAACATCTTCCCTACCCACAGCTGGCTTGGTCCTGCCTCCTGCACTTGCTACCTCTCTGCCTGCCCCTGTGCCCACTTCAACCCATACCCTTCTCCATCCTTGACACCCCAGCTCTGCTTTCCGACCAAATCTCTGGCTCACCCATTGGTTCTGGCATTCAGATTCCAATCCATGGCCCTGACCCTCAGCTCTGATCTCAAATATAGCCCCATGTATTCTGTGGTCCCGAATCTTGACTCCAGTTCAGCTCCATTCTAACCTCCGGGCCTGGCTACCCCTAGGGCTCTGTCCATTAGGCCTAACTGCCCACGTCCTGGTCGTGTCCTTGACAAGTATAAAGGAAGAAAAACATTTTTGTAGCCTGGGAAGTGTCTCATCATCATAAATGGAGAAACACATTTCACGCTAGGAGAAAAAGGGAGCTATAAATTCCCCCAGATTAATGGGCATAGACAAAAATCCACCAACAGCCTGAATTCAGTGCTGGTGGAAAGTGATGAATTGACAACCCTGGAGACTGAAGTCCTGAGTTTATCCACAAAACAGGAGCTGCACATGCAACGATGGTGCAAGTTGTCCCCCCCTGCCCTATCGATGTACCTCAACTCTAAGCTATAGGACCTGCCTCTAGGGAGACAGATTTAGTTCACTGGAACCCTTACGTGTGATTCAGCTGCAGGATTTGGGAGCAGGTCGCTCTACCATACACACAAACCAGTCCCCTTGGGTTTTTTTCAATGAACCCTTCGGTGCAAAAATGGCATCAGGTCCCTGTATACCTTTGCATGGAATAAGCTCAACTTCAAATGACAACTGAGCTGCCAAGATTTGCCCCCTGCGCACCCCAACTTTGACTCTCTTACTGCAGTATCGCGATAGCATTAAAAACGACCCAACCTGTCCCAGAGCCAGATGTGACATGAGGCGCTGAGCTGCTATTGCTGTTGAGAAAGGAATGGTGACTCGATGGGGAAAATGAGTCAAATTTTCTCCAGTCTTGCCTGATGATCTTTTGTCTTTTAAATCAACCTGTCATAGGGTTTCATTGTGTTAAACGAATATTTGGAATCTGAACCTTCTGTCTCTGAATGGAGCACAGTAACTTAACGAGTTATAAGAGGTCTCTTGACCTGGCAAATTGTATTTAATAGCATTTACATTGCTGTAATGCTGACATCATTTCTGACATTTTGGCCCACGGCAGACTGTATGTAGAGGAAGCAAAAACACCTTGTTTCTTTGTTACCAAAGAGCAATTAGCAGGGGGCTTAGGGGGTAACACATGTTTCTATATTTAAAGATTGCATCAAGTTGTTATGGCAACTGGATAGTGGAATTCCAGTTGTCATAACAAGTCAGCATTGTCCTCACATACCATTGTTTCCACAATTTCATTTTTAGAGCTCAAGTTTACATAACTTACCAGCCTTTCCCATAACACTGAATCTGAAGGAGAAAAGTAAAGCAACTCATTTGATCTTTTTCAGTGCAAGCTTTTCCCCTTAAAATGAGAAGCAGATTAGAGGAATATGATAGAAGGTTCTCTTAAACCTAACAGCATTTATTAAAACAAAAGCCAATTGCAGAAATCCTCAGAACCCTTCACGATGCTGGAGCGCCAGGATTCAGATCCAGTTGGTAGTCATTCTTGAATGAGCCATTCCAACTTGGTTCCAGTTGCACAAAGGACCACGATGGTAGATGGTACCCATTGGCAGGAACAGCAGAGAAGGTACTGCCTGAACTGCCCACGTGGAATGAACTCCTCTTTCATGCCCACTGGTGGCTCCCATCAGGTCAAGCCCGAGGCACTCTTACAGCATGGTAGGAGAAGTCAGCACCGCTGTGGCCCATGCTGTACCTGTTCTTCTTGGCCAAAAGGAGAGAGAACTTTGGTCTCTATACCTAGCTGTGTACTTTTATTGTCTTCATCTCCACAGTATCTGAATCTCTAGGGGTGTCAGGCCAAATCTCACCTGAGCATTGAAAAGTCACACTGTTCTTCAAAAGAATACCTATAAAGCACTACAAGACACCTTAAAGAAACATCACAGTTGTGCTGCCCACATTCAGATGTTGGCTACCATCCCTGCTGAAAGTTTGGCTTCTAACTACATTTTGTGCTGTAGAAACTGCATCATATGTCCAAGTCTCCAACTTACAGTTGTAAGTTAATGGGACTCGTCACCCAATCGACCAGAGTCTTGCCTTTAGTTCCTGCTGAATTCTTGGTATGCAGCTCTCAAAAGTGCCTGACACGCTGGGCATGCTACACATAGTGCTACCCCTTCTTCCAACACCAGTGTCCCCGCTCTGCTGAGTCGCAGCAGATGTCCAGGACCTTCTAGGTCAGCTTCCCAGTAGAGAAGTCTAGTCACACAGAGTCTGGCAAGCTCTAAGTGTAATGTGCTTTATTTACACATATACACCAGTCCTGAAATGAGATCATCCAAACAGCATGCAGGGCAATCCCTTCCTCCAGGACTCTCAGTCCTGGTTTACAGGAAGCAACTCTGCTTCAAGACTTAACTCTAATCAGAGCCCAAGGCTGAGAGCAATCGCTCCTGCTGCTCGCAAAGTATCCTCTCCCCAGGCTGACTTTACAGAAAACCTCACATACCCCTAAGCTAACAATACCACAGTCTGTCTTCCCAATTGCTCACAAACTCAAAAACACACTTTGGAAGACTATGTGTTACAGCACCACCTGGTGATGCCTGCCAAAACAATAAGTAAATAATAATAACAGGTGTTCTAGTATTAATATTGGAACAGTGATTCTGATATTCAACTACTCTGCCACTCAACCCAGAGTAACTGAGCGACAGATTTTCAAGATGAAAGTGACGGTCAGAGCATGAAGTGATACAATCGGAACAGCAGCCATCGGATCCTTTGCAACCTGTCACTAAAGCAGCAGGTGGTTGTTATGGGAGGGGGAAGTCATTCGCCCACCCTGGAAAGCACTGAACAGGATTCACCCAAATGGGAGAGAAAATAGCCAGCAGTAGCTACAGTGCTAGCAGTTTCTGAAGAAATCAGAAGCCCCTCTGGGGCATCGCCCAAAACGTGAATGTCAGGACTGTGCTAAAAGAAAAGGAGTACTTGTGGCACCTTAGAGACTAACCAATTTATTTGAGCATGAGCTTTCGTGAGCACGAAAGCTCATGCTCAAATAAATTGGTTAGTCTCTAAGGTGCCACAAGTACTCCTTTTCTTTTTGCGAATACAGACTAACACGGCTGTTCCTCTGAGGACTGTGCTAATATTCCTTTGTGGTATATCCAATCTCGACACATTCTGCAGAGAAGGTTTGGGGTTAGCTGTATAGGGACAGGAGGACTGGAATGGGAAATGGTCCATATAACCTGTAGTAATTACTGAGATTGAACTGTAGAAGAGCCCTTTCCCTCTCCCATGCAGTGCTAACCACTATGAGGACCACTTTGCATCCCACAGATTACAGGGAAAGAGATCCCTCTGTGCATTTCTATGTAATGGGATTATATTAAAACTGTTCTCTAGATCTTGTTACATATAACAGAGTTACAAATAATGCAGCCCTTTCTGCTCATAGTAGTTCCAATGTACACTACTGTACATTCAATTTTAAAGGGACTCAAGTACTTCACAAGCATTTGATGGCACAAACTACAGATGAGAAGGATAAGCAATCCAGCTTTTCAGAAAGGGGAGAGGACAGCTTCCACTAGACGAGTATGCAACCAGTACCCAAACAACCATAGGAACTGCGCTGAGATCCAGCCCTCAAATACTGGATTGTGGCAACCTTAAATGAATCAGTTGAAGTTTTCTGAAGTTTAATTTCAAATCAGGGCAAAGTAAAGTCCAGGATATTGAAATACGAGCCATTTCAGGCCACATTTCCAGAGTTCAGGTGCAGAACTGCATGCACAGCTCAGGTAACTGCATGCACAAATGACCAGAATTGGTCCCTCTCACATGCTGTTGCCTCATTTGCCTGTGTACTAGTTGGCCCCAGTCAATGTGAGCACCAAACCCGAGACACCAGATGCACAAGAGCCCACTTCTTCAGCTAAAAGAGCAACCTCGCTAGCTGTCAAAAGGTAGGAGACTCTTTGCTTGGTCCAGCCACGAGGGGGAAGCTTGATCAAGTTCACTAAACCAGCATATCACAGTGGGTGTGCATGCAAATTAGGCACACAAATGTTGCTTAAGCTCTGAAAATCTAGTTCTTATTTTTAGAATTTCGTTAACCTAAAAGGATATCTATTCAAACTGGCATGTTAGAGATGCCAAATTCAGGTTCAATAATGCAGCCTACTGTATTATATGCTCAACTCAATTGTTTTAGATAAACCACTAAAGCTGGGACACTGAGAGGGAGCAGCACAGAATATTGTCACAAGAATTAAGATTCAGAATGACACCAAGTTACCTCTGGCTCCTCATAGATTTCGGAGTCCATCTGTGGGCTTAAATATGGGAAAAGACAGAGCCTGTCTTCTTTTCTCAGGCTGAACTTCCTGCCATCTGCCAGTCTCAGATTCATGTCTGCAAGTACTTCTCTGCTGATAAAAGGGGCTGCTGTCAAACGTAGTGTTTCATTCAATACACTGTCTGCACAAGCGGAAAAGCGAAGAGAGAATTACTGCATCCAACAAACAAGAGTGAGCTCACTGCAGGCTGCTTGCTTTACATTTATGCATAAGGAATGGAATTGCATACCTGCAAAAAATAAATTGCTTAATGAAGTTCTACCACATAATATACTACCAAATGGCAGATATACCTTAGACTTAGAGGGTTTATATCTCCTGCCTTCCTTGGGAAACTGAACTAGACATAAAGGAGAGACCACAGAAATACTAACCGTGTCTTCAAGGACTTTCTCTGCAATTCTCCTGTAAAAAATGTGAATCCAACTATTTCCTGCATCTCAGTCACTCAGGAGCTAACTGCTTTGTTACTGAATAATGTGTGAAGCTTTCTGATTACAGAGTGGCTTGTGCAGTTAACATATATATGGTCAAACCCAAGGAGAAATCCCTCTGTCATTTAAAATCCATGGTTGACTATATAGGTTGCTCAGCCTATACAAATTCAAGGTAGAGCCACCCGTTAACATTACTCTGCTAGACACCAAAAATCATGGACAGAACAGAGACATTGGATTTATGGCTTATTTCAACAATCTGTAATCCACTAACCCCCCTCTTTTTGTCCTATGACTGCAGAGGGGTTAACGGGACAATCTACCTTGAATGGTCCCTTACAATATGTGCTAACTAGTTATGCCAAACAATCTGTCCCACCTGGCATTTTGCTGTGATGCTGGGAGTTCCTTTCTCAGACCAGAAGAAGAGCTGTGTGTGGCTCGAAAGCTTGTCCCTCTCACCAACAGAAACTGGTCCAATAAAAGATATCACCTCACCCACCTTGTGTCTTTGTTATTAACACTAAGAATTAGAGCTGTCAGAAATTTTTCACAAAATAATGTATTTATTGGAAAATCCTGATTTTGTTGAAATTGAACAAATTTTCTGTTTTGAAAGTTTTTTGAAAAAAATATTTTGAAATTGTCAAACTGCCTTGTTTTACCATTTTGAAAATGAAAAGTCTTGTTTCTTCAGTACAAAATGATTTTTTGTTTAGAAATTTAAGTTAATTTATAGTAAAAATATGTAAAAAAAAAAAAAAAAAGAAGGCCAAAATCAAAATGAAGTGTTTTAAAATCTTAAAAATGCAACAGTTCAATTGATCCAATTAAAAAACTTGTTGGATTTTGTGTTTGTGGAAATTTTCAAGATTTCAACTTTTTGCCCCAATTCAGGACAGGAAAATGTTTCAAAATCTTGAAAATTCAGGAAAATTGTTTCCTTCTCAGCTCAACTAAGAATGTTCTGCTTTCATCAAAACCACGATTGAGTATTAAAATAGATTCAGATTACTTCTCATTGCAACCACTATTTCATGTCATTAACCCAGTGTAAAAGATTATGCTTCATATACTAACACAGTGACTCCCACCTCCTAATAACACTTTGTGAAAGAAGTTCTCACTAAATCTGTTCAGTGCAGTATTAAAACTGGGTTGACTGCTCACAACAGCATTACTTGCTCTCACTATGCAGAGAGCAGGTTAAAGATCTGAATGTACCATGTAGATGCATTTTACGGAATAGAAAAACAGAAAAGAGGCGAGCAATGCACATGCTAGATAATACAAAATTTAACTAAGGCAAAGAGGTGTTCCCCAAAGTATGGAGAAAATAAGATTTACATTTCCCAAACGCTGTTTAAGAACCAGCTTCTATGGCTTAAATATTATGTCTAGCTTTGTCACTGAAGAATGGTGTATAATTAAACCTTTTTACTTTGCAGTTAACATCAGACTAGTTAATTAACACTTGTAAAACCTTGAATAGTACCTAGCAGGCTGTAGGCCAGGTTTTTAAATCTTTAAGGGGCACAATTATGAAAGGAAAGTGAGAACACCAGTTGCATGCCCACATTTTGACATTCATTTACTTGGGATTTCTTCTACAACAGCTAGACATAGCTGTATGCAGATTTTCTCTGATTTGCATAAGCAAGCACATTAACTGCATATGCAAATTAGGGCCATGATTGCATGCACATTTTGGGCCTACAATTTCGGCCTAAACTCCTTGAACATTTCCTAAGTTACCAAAGATAATTTAAGTCAAATGGTACACGGATGTCCCCAAAAGATATGTACTAACCAAAAACAGGAGTGCTGTCCAGCATCTCTTGGCTAATGCCTTGCATCTGTTTCATTGTTTGTCCTCTGTTTCTAATTATTTTTTCTACTTCACCTTGAACTGCTGCCATGGCTGCAGGATGCTTTAGAAGAAACAGGAGAAGCCAAAAAACTGCCGGACCTGCATTACCCTAAAAATAAAACCCCCAGAAGGAATTAGAGTTATCAAAATTGTGAGCAGATGAATTGGAACAAACAGAACTTCCATTACATCACAAAAGAAAAACACAAGTCAATGTCAATTCAATTTTCATTACAAGCAAAATCTTTTCCGTCAATAAGTGAAAGGAATTGTTGGCAACACTTGAAAATTAATATAAAACAATTCTTGAAGGACTGATTTTAAAGGATGATAAGTATCTTTCAAGCTCTTGTACATTATTAATGAGAGTATCCCAGAACAAAATGGCTGCCTCAGAAATGCGAAAGATCTCACAATTCTGCCATTAAAAAAAGAGGACAGCAGAATTTGCTGGGTCAAGCATCCTGCAGTCAGCGAGGCGGCCTAGTGTATGGCGGCAGCAGCCAATGAAGGCATAAAATGTAACCCACTGTAGGAAACCTGAATTCATTTTAATAAGATTCTCTGAAGACAACAGGAGAATTTTACAAAGACTATAATAGGCAAGGATTTAACTATCAGTGTTTCAGCTACTGTATAGAAAAGTACTTATGTACCCATGAGATAAATACTCTCACTCCCCTTTGCATCCGATGAGGGGAAATCTATCATAGGGATTATGTCCCACCTATTGCATTGTCGTGAGCGGGATGTAATATACATAGAGAGTGATTTCAGAGAGCCTACACAAAGCTTATGCACCAATTAAGTCCCACATAACCCTATTTTAGTGGGCTTGGTTCCATTTCATCTGTAGTCAGCATCTCTCAATAAGTTATACTGTGTATAAATCTATCCGAGGACCTGAAGAAGAGCTCTGCATAAGCTTAAAAACTTGTCTCTCTCACCAACAGAAGTTTGTCCAATAAAAGATATTAGCTCACCCACTTTGCCTCTCTAATTTTGATTCATATGTGTAGATTGTAAGAGCCTCAGGGCAGAGGCTGTCTTTGTGTTCCGTGTTTATACAGCACCTAGTACACTGGCGTTCGGTCCTTGACCGGGGTCCCTACATGTTATCACAATACAAATCATCATCATCATCATAAAAGCCACTTAAGTGAGAGCTCAGCTAGAGTGACATAGCTGTTCCAGAGTGCAAGAGGAAATATACCCCCATGTCAAACCAGCAAAGAGAAATACTTGATGGGCCTGCACTTTATATATTCATTCTTGTTTTTAAAACAATTGTGACAATTAAGTGAAAAGCACAGTAGCATCGCTGTCAATAGGGAGTGCATACACAGTACATTAAATCTACGTAATTTAAAGAGAAGCGTATACAACATAAATAATTCATTCTGTTTTGGTAAGTGCAATGACATTTTATCTTGCCTAATTTTCAAGCAGGGCAGTTTACTTTTTAATTAAAATAGAGGCATTTATAAATGCATATGACCATTTAATTTTTCATGTTGCAAGGGAACAGACTTAGTCATGCATTAGAAAGAATAAAGTATCATTCCTCTTCCTGGAGATTACATTCCAGAAAACTACATGAGCTGAGTAAGTTCTCCTTGTGATTAAAGAGAGTTTCGGGCCACTGCACAGTACAATGTCATTGGAGGAAGAGTCGTTTGCTGAGATCAAACCAAAAAAAGAACAAAGCACTGAAAAGTCAAGTCAATGCTGAATCTATTTCAGTGACTGTTTTGAAGCAAATGCCTTCCCAGCAATTATGTATATTTCTAAGGCAGATAACAGGAGCTCAAATATTTCAAAGAGATAGGAGAAGTAACACTTCTCTTCCTAGTTTTGCAGTGTTGTTGTAGCCATATTGGTCCCAGGATATTAGAGAGACAAGGTGGGTTAGGTAATATTTTTCCTGGACCAACTTCTGTTGGTGAGAGAGACAAGGTTACGAGCTTACACAGAGCTCTTCTTCAGGTCAGGTCCCAGACCCGTGTAAACTCAAAAGTTTGTCTCTCTCACCAACAGAAGTTGGTCCAATAAAAGATATTACCTCACCACATTTGTCTCTCTAGTTCTCTTCTGTATTACTGCAGACAAAACGCCCACTGGTGGGCCTGATCCAAAGCCCACTGACACCATCGAGAATCTTTCCATTGGTTTTCATGGCGTTTGGATGAGGCCTTAAATGAGTGTGATATTATCAGTGTAACGAACAACAGAACTGAATATTACAAAGCAAAGAAACCATTTTTACACCAAAGAGAGGCTACCTATGGGATACTATCAGTTGATTAAGGCCCACAACTGCCATTTGTGCCTTTGAATCTCTCTCCCCTTAATTTTTTTTTATTATTAAAAACTGAGCCCTACTTTTTCATCAAATACACCAAGCAGTTTGTGGAGCAAGGCTAACTCTTTTCTCGGGCAAAAAACACAGAGGTAACACTGCAGAAAACTGAATTAAGGAAAATCAGTATTACAATGGGATTCTGAAGCTATATCCCTCTAAGATACAGACATAAGGCCTGATCCAAGGGGACTTTCCATTAACTTCAGTGGATTTTCAATCAGGCCCATAAATAATAAACCATTTTGATAAACTGAGATCATTATCAGGAACGTATACACCATATCATAATATTAATACCTAGTTTTTATCATTTTTGCCCAGTAGATCTGAAAGTGCTTTATCAAGGAGGTCAATACTACTGCCCCCATTTTACAGATGGGGAAACTGAGGCACAGAGCTAAAGTGACTTGTCCAAGGTCTCTCAGCAGGCCAGTGGCAGAGCTGGGAACACAATCTAGGTCTCTTAAGTCCCAATCCAGTGCACTACCCACTAAGCCACACTGTCTGTAGACAATTGTCAGGCTGATCCTCCACTCTTATACACCAGTGTAACTCCAGTGTTGTCAGCATTTTCAAAAGTGGCCTCTGATTATGGGTGTCCAATTTAAAGAAATCTTTGGTCCAGGGCCTGAATACAAATTTAGATGACTAGTCTCAAGTACCCACTTTTGAAAATTCTGATCTAAATCCCTATTAAAGTTTATTCTATAACTCTCCATTGTGTCACAAATAAGGCTACGAGTATGTCTCGGAGGTTGCGGAAGTCACAGATTCTGTGATTCCCTCCCAGCTCCCCAGCCTTCTCCAAGTCTGCAGCTGCGGGGATCCCCATCAGCTTCCCAGCCGCCTCCAAACCTGTGGCGGGGGGGGAGGATACCCCCCCTCCCCCAGCTCCCCAGCCAGTGGGCAGGGGTGAAGGGCCGCAGCTCCCTGCCACTGCATGCAGTAGGGCAGGGTGCTGGACACTTCTCCCTCCCCATTTTGTCAGGAATGGTTTTAGTAAAAGTCAGGGACAGGTCACGGCTTCCGTGAATTTTTGTTCATTGCCCGTGACCTGTCCATGACTTTTACTAAAAATATCCATGACAAAATCATAGCCTTAGTCATGAAGAAACAAGAAACATATGGGTATTTTTTTCCTATCCTGGTTAGGATTCTATTGAAGTTATGCTGTGGTTTTCACTAGCTGCACAGTGATCTGAAGCTTTGCCTGTTTGAATGTCTCCGGTAAAATCTCTGGATTTGGGATGTGAGAATGATCCCTCAAACTGTTAGATGACACACAGGAGAAACTGGTTTTTTTTAAGAAGGCCTGAAACTACAGCTGCTTAGAAAAGGTCCTTGCTCAGGAAGTCAGATGTGATCAAATGTGAACTGGAAATGCCTGAGGATAGACTGTCATCTGCGATCCATGCCAGACAGTATGCATTACTTCTCCTGGGAAAACAGCACCTTGGCCAAGGACAACAACACATCTCAAAATACAGCATACACCACCCCCTAGTGGTGATTTACATTATGTACCTGTCCAGCAGGTGCATGAGGAAATGTGCACATAGAGGGGGCAAATTGTGAACTCCTATTTGTGTGTTTAATGAGTTCACACACAGTCTTTGCACACTAGCGCTTACACACAGATAGAGGCAGCTCCTCGGTATAAATTATCACAGCTACACTGATACCAATGGCTCTACAACAATGTACAGCAACTGAGGATTTGCCCCATAGAATTTATATGTGCAGAACCGATTTAGGCTTAATTCGCATGACTTGTCTCACTGATAATATCCAAACGCCTCAGGCATAATCCTGTAAAAATCACAGTTAAAGTTTCCTGGCAACTATCATTCACTATATTGGACCTGAGTATTGCAGTTCATATGGCCCTCGGTAAAAGGGCCTCAGAGCGATGAATAATCACACACACAATGAATGAAAGATGGCATGCCAGCTTTGCAGTTGGTACGGTGCTGGATTCGTGATCACCCACTGTCCTGAAACACTGCTGAAAGACCAGACAATCTGCAGGTGAAATTTGCCATGCTGGGTACATTAAAGACAGAGCCAAGTCCCTGCACTGCAGGAGAGGGACCTGCATCTTTGTGTTTGTGCCTCTAAGAAACTAAAATTTGCAATGAACAGGCTCGACCTAGTGCATATGTTCACCACTGCCCTCAACTGGAGGGAATCACAATGACTCCACTGTGTGTCACAGATCCTACACTGCTACCAATCCTGTGATTCTCCTTTCTCTCAAGTGCTGTAGACTTGTGCTTTTGGAGAAGGAAGCTCAATATTCTATCCCCGCTGTTGTCTTGCAGTTCAGAACAACCATGAGGAAGTTCACAGCTTGGCCCTGGCTTTGCCACAATATTACTTTAAATCAATGTGGGTGTTTTATTTCCTTTGACATTTTCTCCATGCAGTTAGAATTTCTTTGGTATTTTCCAGAGGCATCACAACCTCTCTAGTGGAATCAGTATTATTATTGTTAGTCCTAAGCCAATTTCTAGCTTTCTCTCCATCTTGTTATCTCCCTGAAAGAGCTGAGATGGTTTTACCTGTGTGGCCCAGAGCTGCATCAGCATGGCTCTGGGTTGCATATCCTCATCCACTCCCAGTTCCTCTAGGTGCAGCTTGTAGCTCTCTAGCCAAAGGCTTTTGTTGGCTTTGGAATTCAGTCTTTTTACAGACAGTAGCTTCCAGAGATGTCCCTTGAGGCTGGCAGCTTCCTTCTTTTCCGCTGCACATAAACAAAGGCAGAGATTTCGTTATTAATATAACTATTAAGAGACACTGCAGCTGACCAGTTCTAGTGACTCCTGGTCTAAAGTGTAAGTGACACGGATAGAAGGAACTTAAAATGTTCACAATGGTGCCATCTACTGCCCATACTTGCTCTTCTAGAATAGCTCCTATGTAAAAGTAGGGCCCTGCTCAGAAATCACTTCCAACCTAAATGGCTTAATTTCCAGGGGGTTTCCAGAGCAATGGTCATTTCCTGTGTGCTCTCAGCAATCCCCAACAGTGAGACTCTAATCACGTGTGCTAGAGGAAGGAAAGGTCAAAAGCAAATCCATAAGAAGGCTGGGAATGAGGAACAGTTAGACCTCTCCACGGTGAGGTGTTCAACAGCTCCCTGCCAGAAATGCTCCTCCCATGCATTGTCTACACTGGGAACTGAGTCGTGTTAGAAAATGTGTTGATTAGCATGCTGTTGAACCCCACTTAGCCCCGGGTGTAGACAGTCATGTTTAAAAACACGCTGGCTACTTAGAAGCGTGGGATTGAGCACGCACAGCTAACACATTTCTAGACAAACCCTTATATCCCAGACTACTCCATGTGGACATGCTGATATTCCAGTGAGGCTGACATTCTCTTTCCCAGCAGAAAGCCCAGGTAACTGGGTTCCATGTGAGCTGGGGAAGTTTAACCCAAGCCCTATTGCAGGGGCAGAGCTGCCGTACAGCCCCATCTGGCTGCTACTCCTGCCACAGTATGTGGATCTGAAGGCCCTTTTCCTGTCCTGTGCCATCACCACCTTCCACACCAGACTATGCAGGGCCAGTGCAGACTTCTCCAAGTGTCACACAAAGGAAACACAATGGCCAATTTATCTGGTCCCATTCTTGCAATGCAAGGAAGGCCTCTGGTGACCTCAGGTGCCTTCGTATCTCATGGGAAAAAGGGGCAGGTTCCCGGGGTATTGAGGATCTTAACCATTCAGGACTTTATTGGTTAAAGCCAGTGCTTTTACCAATTTGCACCTGGAAATGAACTGGATGCCTGTGCAGATCAGGGAGTAGAGGCATAGTACAAATGGCCAGTTGCAAATGCATGCACCTAAGTCTCTGAGGTGCATGCAAATGGCATATTATACGATTTGATTTGCATGTGCAATTGCATGAACTGTACCTACCAATTAGGTGTATAATTGCATGCCTAACATGCTTGACTATGTGGCCCTATGTCTATGTGGATGTTTTTTTCTGGCTCACAGGCACTCACCTGCAGTTAGCGTGGAGCGGGCAGCGCTCATCAACAGCTGGTCCAATTTATAAAATTCGTTGTAGACCTCAGCAGAATGGGCCCGGTCTTTATTTTGGCAAGAAGGATCGTTGTAGTTTTCTTCTTCATTGCCATACAGGGTCAGGTATCCAGCTCTGTTTGGAACAAAGAGGGAAAATACATTTGTATTTAAAATGCAATGGGTGAAACCCTGGTTTCACTGAAGTCAAGGGTAAAACTCCCGTTGAGCTGAACAGGGGCCAGGATTTCGCCCAATGTTTTTAGTATTTTAATCTTAATATAACATATAATTAAAAGGCTCTGTGCAATGTATAGTGAAACCTTTTTAGATGACATATGCAACAACAGTTACTTCTTAAGACAGAGGATAATGGCATAGAGTTTTGATGTTTTATTTTGCATCTGTTTCCCTTTGCTTTCCATGGAAAGATTTGCCTTTAGAAAGTCCAACATTATATAGAATTTGTTGCACCTGATTATGCCTGTTTGCATATTTTTACTAGAGTCTAATCCAGCTCACACTAAAGGCCCCTGGGTTTTATATATTACACACACACAAAAGGTTGTAAAGTCAAGCACTCAAAAGTTAGGAAACATCCGAATTAAGGTTGCCTCTGCAACCTTAATTTGCACACTTATTATACTGCATTTATTTACATGATCACATTTATTATTTCCACAGGCTCCCTCCCTCATTCAGTGCACAGGATGGGTGGCCCTCACTTAATGAACAGCTATTCAACATTTCGTTTTTTCCTCATTGTTCAGTGTGTGGTCCCAGGCCTTATTTGTTGCATACTATTCAAACCCTGCTCTGGAGATAGAATTATTAATCTCCTCCTAGGCTTTTCTATGATGCGCATCACTATAGTATCTGAGTCCTTCACAAACATTAATTAACTTATCTTCACCATTGCCCAGTGAGGAGAATGGGGGAGAGGCTCTTATCCCCATTTTACAGACTGGGAGCTGAGTCACAGAGATTATGGTCAAAAGTTTCTACCAATTTTGGGTTCCCAGTCTGTGACGACTAGGACCTGATTTTTCAGAGTACTTAGCACCACATAGCACTTTATGTGTTCAAAGCACAGATCAACTGTGTGTGCTCAGCTCTTCTGCAAATACAACCCCAGGCATCAAGATGGATCCTCAGAAAGAGAAGAACACATCACTACTGACCAGCTATGAACATCTGGGTTGAAGTGACTTGCCTAGGATCACACAGGAACTCTGTGGCAGAGGCAGGGATAGAATCCAGTTCTCCAGGGCAGCGTTCAATTGTCTTAACCATGAGATGGTCCTTTTTCTTCCTGAAATCCCTTCTCATTAATTATACACCTTCCAACTTCTGCAACAAGTGAGGCAGGGGGCCTACAGACAACAGCCTGCTTCATACACACCCCTAATTCATCCCCACTCCAGGTCCAACCGGTTTACTGAATGAGGCCGGGATCCCATGGGAAAAATAGTATGTGGTCATGTAACTAAAGACAGTATAATAATAATTCATATGCACCAGGGGGCCGAATTAACATTGCACAGGAACCCTTCATTCTGGTATCTCCTAACTTTTGAATGCTTGACTTTGCAACCTTAATAATAGTCTCTTAACGTAGTTATTTTGTGTGTAATCTCCGAGGTTTTTTAAAAAGCAAACCAATATTCTATCGTGTGGCATTGTGTGTGTTTCTGTGTGCGTGCGTGCGTGTGTATTCTATTGGATATAATTGTTTTTAAACAAATAAATATTTCCCTCCACAGTTTACAATCCAAACATTGCTGTGCTAGAAACTTATAAGTGCCACTGAAATGTTTAATGCAACACCAATGCCTTAGATATGCTTTCTGACGGCGTAGGATGTACAGTACGAGTGTCCATACTGCAGGTCAGTTCCATAGACCATTGGTTGGATTTTGCATATCCTCGGGCACAGAGGGGGTTAATTTAATGTAAAGTTTGCAACATCAACCCTAATTAAACTGCTTTAAAAAAAAAGTCATGAGCCAAATATTCCTTTTCTATAATGTCTCTTTTCTCGGGGTTTCAGTAAAAAGAAAACGTCACTGTTTCATTTCCCCGTTTGGAGCCCTCTCGGTTTTAATGTTAATGACACTAACTCCTGGAGTAAGATGCTATTAGGAGTAAGGCTGGCAGAAGCAGACCCTGGTTTTGCATTGCTATAGAACTTTCCATGCAAGCCCTGCCGTTTGTTTTCTATATGTCAATGAACATCACTTCTGTAAGGCAGGTAAGTGTTCTTACCCCCTATCTACAGATGGGCAAAGCGAAACATAGGTAAGACCAAGATTTTCAAACCTGGCTTCCCAAAGGTAGGTAGACCTGTGAGTGATCAGCAGCTCTGAAAATCAAGTCACTTATTTAGGCACCTAATTTTGGGCCTACAGTGACTTGTCCCAGGTCATGCTGTAAGTCAGAAGCAGAGCTAGAAAAGCAAACTCAAGTGTTCTTGACTTCTAGGCCAGAGTTTTAACTACTAGATCACTCTGCTTCTTCCCTATCCCTTCATGAATAAAAAACATCACTCCATTTGCCCCTCAAACAGACTGTTGGAAAGAAGAAAGCGCAAAACAAGGCAGCAGTGACTAAAGTTTTAAAATATTAGATATGCTTAAAAAAAATCAGTGTTCATAATGATCAAATAACGACACCTGCACTTTTATAGCATGGTGCAGGCCTGATTCTGCTCTTGCTGTACACCAGTTTCACACCAGTGTCTCCTCACTGGCTCCAGTGCCCTTGCTCCTTATTGACACCAATGTGAGAGCGACAGCAGGCCCTGCATCTTTAAAGTCTGGTGCAAACATCCATTGTTTTTTAAATGAGTCACAATTTTTAAAAAATGGAGAAGAGCTGACTGTGATGTCATTCCCCTTCCAGTCCCAAGGGATGAAGCTTTATAGTGCAGCACTTACCTAAGCATCATGCTGTAGGAGAGATGAAACAAGCCTTCATCTGTCCACTGCCGGCTCAGATTGCTTGGGTCAGAAAGCAGAAGGGTCTGAAGGTTGAAGAACATTGCCTTAGTGAGGGATGGAAGGTTCTTGTTTTGCAGAGCCCTGTAGAAACAGAAGTTAGTTTGTGAAACACCTTCATGTATAAGGCTTACTGTTCTATAATCAGTGTTTAGTTAGGGACAAGTCTCTCCTGTTTATATCACATGCATCCCTGGGTGTCTGAACCTTGTCACTTACACAGCCCAAGCACCTATGTTCTGGGTAAAGGGGAAAGTGCTGGACAGAATTCTCCATGCTACACTAGGGCACCGTAAAGTGGCCTGGTCTGGATTCTGTTGCTGCCCGTTATGGAGAGTGAGACCAGCTGCAGAGTTCTAAGATACTTTGGAGGCTCCCCAACATTTGGGGGGTGAGGCTGAAGGTTGGACTTGGCTTTTTGCTTTGGACCCATGTTCTGGGATAGAAGCCACTGAGAGGGAATAAGTGATGAACATGGAGATGCCATCTACACGGATTTATTTTAAGTGCCTTAACTACTCCTGTGTGGGAAAGTGGCTGTTATAGACTTAGCAAAAGAAAGGCCAGTTCGCTATGACATCTAGCAGGGATTTGCCTCTAGTGATAGCCACTGGTCAGATGAGAGGTTTGATTGAGACAGTATAACATTTTTCCATAGTGGCTACTGGATTTCTTATGCTGTACTTCCAATGAACTGGAACTTGGGCATTACATGATGCTAGTACATGGAGCATGGTTCTTAAAATGAGCAGCCATTCTGTGACTTCATTAACCACACTGGAGTCACTGCTCTTTTCGTGCTACTCAAATGGTTTCCAAGGGACTGATTATGGGCCATTCTCCTTAGCGCACTGTCAGCCTGGGACTTCCCACGTAGGACTCTCAGGGCGGCTTGCACAGCACTGCAGCAGCAATCCTTTCAGGGGAAGAAGCTGTGCTGATTTACACCTGCTGATTCAGAACACTACGCTGCTCAGACCAATCTACCTGAGGTGCACGGACAAATGAACCTGCCAACCTTCCAATCTCGGGGAGATCATCAGAGTGCTAACATAGCGTAACATAATGTTAGCATTCCCGCAATAAAGAAAGTGCATGGCATGAAATATCAGTGCCCTCAGCCAATGTGCAAATGCAATATTGCAGAATAAATCATCTGAAACCAGCCTGGTTTTACCCAAACCCCATTTCCTTGTAAATTGCATCAGCACAATAAGGTCAAGTCACCCCCTCCTAGCAATTGAGAGTCCAGCAATTTTTAAACCTATAGATTGGAGGGCAATGTCTGACTGAGGGTCACACGTCTGAATGATTCACATCAACATCTCCCAGACCTTAAAACTTCCATTGGGAAACAAATAATCTGAAGGGGGGAGTGCACCTAAAAGCTATTTTCAGCCATTCATGTCTCGGTGTGATGTATCTATTGGTAAAGCAGAGATGTTCCCAGAAGTTCAGACCACAGACTGTCCCATTTATATGCTATTAGAGCATAAACATGATTGTTCATTGCTTTCAGTCACGCTGCCGGTGCTCCATCAGATGTGTACTGTAAACTATGTGGTCAGCATATTTATCTCCAGCCAGGTTGTGTCCCTCGCTTTTATTTAAAGGGTTTAAACATGTCTCGCTACTATCACACAGCAAGAAGTCATTAAATCTCTCTAATATTTTAAAATATTAGAAGTAAAAATAGATCCCAAGGAGAGTAAAATAATGACAGCCCCAGGGCTCTGCTGCTTATTACTGTTTCCCGCCAAGTAACTGTAATTGCTTCAGGATGATTTTTACCAGTTTCAGGGCTGGGACAACATTTGCTGGTGTACAAGTGTTGTGATGTCCACACAGTGCGAGACAGGCATTGCTAATTCGGAAGGTCTAAATCCTCCCCTGGCTGGCAGGAGAGACCAGAAACTTTTCCTGGTGCTGGTTCTACCACGTGAATCCTGACATCCAGGGCAGGACACCATGGGGAGGGTTGGGGGCACTGCATTGTGGAGCCCACTTTAGCGCAGCTCATCTGCTGCTGGCTAGAGCTTCCAGCTGACTGACACACTCCCACCGGTCCCCATCAGCGCACGCATGTCTCCTGCCCATTGTTCCAAGAGCTCTCTCTCGTGCTATGAGGAGAGAGAGAGACGCCGTGCTGTTGCTTGTACAAGAGACATGCAGGAACTCCCTAGGTCCTCTCCTTCCATACACACCTCATGCATTGCTCTGCCCCGTGCCAGCCAGACTCAGCGCCGAAGGTCAACATGACATTCGCTGCCTGGCTGAAAAGCAAGACTGATATACAAGCGAGGTTTGTTCCCAGACATAACCTGGAGGACTCTTCGCCAAGTTATCTATATTCCCCCCCCATGGTATTAATTCTTCCTTATAAACTAATCCCTCTAGCCAGTCCCCTTATAACCTTTGTTGCTTTTCTTGTGTGCCCCTTCAGTTAACCCACATGATTCACATACTGATGTTAGCCAATACATATTTGTTGGTGTAGTACACAGCACATGAATAGGTATTATGTGCATGGTATTAATATAATATATGTTTTATATACACACATATATATATATATATATGGTTGTTGGGAAGTTATGGTAACTGAATGTACTATGCTCTTCCCACAATTCTGTTCACCCATGTCAAGCATCCCGCAGCACTTTGCAAAGCTAACATTAGCTTTGGCATTATAAAATAGAAAACTTTCCACAGCAAAGATGCAGGAATACTTTTACTAAGTACAGCTAGGGAGTACTTGCTTAGCTCATTAACACTTGGAATGTAGTATTCAAAATGAGATACGGGAAAGTATAGCCAGGTATATTGGAATTGGAAAAGGTTCAGAAAAGGGCAACAAAAAGTATGGAACAGCTGTCATATGAGGAGAGATTAATAAACCTGGGATTTTTCAGCTTGGAAAAGAGATGACTAAGGGGGGGATATGATAGAGGTCTATAAAATTATGTCTGGTGTGGAGAAAGTAAATAAGGAAGTGTTATTTACTCCTTCTCATAACACAAGAACTAGGGGTCATCAAATAAAATTAATAGGCAGTATGTTTAAAACAAACAAAAGAAAGTATTTTTTCACATAACACACAGTCAACCTGTGGAACTCTTTGCCAGAGGATGTTGTGTAGGCCAACACCATAGCAGGATTAATAAAAGAACTAGATAAATTCATGGAGGATAGGTCCATCAATGGCTATTAGCCAGGATGGACAGGGATGGTGTCCCTGGCCTCTGTTTGCCAGAAGCTGGAAATGGGTGACAGGGGGTGGATCACTTGATGATTACCTGTTTTGTTCATTCCCTCTGAAGCAGCTGGCACTGGCTACTGTCAGAAGTCAGGATCCTAGGCTAGATGTACCATTGGTCTGACCCAGTTTGGCCGTTCTTATGTTCAGGCACCAAGGACAAAGCTGGCACAAACTAGTGGGTTAAACTTAAAGTGACATATAGGGGGCATTTAGCTTGGAAACAACCATAATATAAACACAATTGAGTTTGAAGCTGTATCTGTGAAGCACACCTTTTGTGTAAGGTGAACACAGTGTGAGAATTTGCTTCCCAGAAGGAGGGGTATATATATCTCCTTTTTGCATTGTACTGCTGTGTCTTTAGACAGTGAATTTGGCTACGTTTGGTAATTTGGTCTCTTGAACATTGTTAAGAACGGACCACAAGCGTAGTCAAACAATTGACTCTACCTTTTAGTCAGTCCTGAGGTGCTTTGCCCTGAATACAGTACACCAGGCATGGCTTCTCTAGAGCCGTACATAGAGGGATTATCACCTCTCTGCTCTGCATGTGCAACCCCAAGCCACCTTAGCCTTTTTTTGCTGCCACACCACGTTACAGTTTAAACCCACCAGGGCTATTATTGGCTATTTCTTTTTAAAGTTAACAAAGATAGATTAAGATCTAGCCATCTTCCTAGTGCACCCATCTCTAGTATTTCAAAGCCAGGCCTCTAGGATAGTTAGCCCGTTGTCATTTCATCCTTACTGAGTGACTCGCTGGGAAAATCTAGATAGACCTCAGGTCTTATCCCCTTCCATTTTGCTTTGTACTTACACTGTGGTTAGTATCGCTGTCCTGGATACCAGGACCGCCACCTCCATGGTGGAACTGCCTGGCTCTCTCACTGGAAAATAATATGCCAAAACAAACTGGAGACACTGGCCCAAATTTTCCTTTGTATCATACTCACGATCTCAGCATGACCTTTTCCTCAGTGGGGTCATAGTCAGGCAGTTTGACATCAAACATTCGATCCATTAAAAGGCGTGCATATTTACTGAAATCTAGCTGACAACTTGACTCCCAGAGCACCGAATCATATGAGTGAGGGTCCAACAAGATGGTGATAAATTTCCCAGCAACCTGGATCTAAAGAAGAAAAACAATCCACAATAAAAAATTAATGGGTCTATTAGCCTAATGAATACAATAATACATTAAAAATGTGAAATATTACCAAAGAGTGGGACAACTGCTAAGCCAAAATCTGCAGTAATAAGTCCAATTACTCAGATACAGTCCTTTTCCTTCATTATTCCCAGCTGAGCACATATCCTGAGCTGGTGCAAAGTAGTGCAGGGCCTTTGATCTCAATGGAGGCACATTGATTTACACTAGCTGAGGTGCAATAGTCTGCAAATAATTCCAAAATGTTATTTTGACTGCATATTTGATGGTCTGAAAAACTCCCATGCTCCCATGGAAACACAGAAACTCACTGACCAAGAGGGTAGCATACCTGGTCACAGTTACATATCTGGGCTCAGGATTCTTAGGAATTTTATGACTCTGAACATCCCCTGTAGCTATACAAGTTAAGGGACCCACCTTGCACTCCTCACTCAGGCAAAACTCCCACTGACTTTAACAGTGCAAAGGTCATTTCCTCTCACCCCCTAACACTGTACAACATTATGAGGGCATCCACCTTCCTCTGAAGTATCAAGTTTGGGCCCCTACAGGAAGCAGAATGGACTGAAGACACCAATGTGTAGTCTAATGCAGGTATGGGGAAAATATGTTGCTATGAAAAATGAAGCTGCTCTGTGGTACGTATGAAAGGTGATGTTAAAGCCTTCTAAAATAAAGCCGCTCATGCACTGTTTAGTTTAAAAGCAGCTCCAGACTGGCTTACTGTAGCTGGGGGAAGGAAGAGGCAGAGTGGCCAGGAGAGAAGAGGAAAGGTTTGTTGAGAGAAGAGGAAAGGTTTGTTGATATTTATGCTGGTCTGTGGCGTCCACTCAAAGCTGTTCCCACAAAGCTTTCTGGGCTGCTTTTGGTTGAACAGCTGAACTGTGCACCCCTCTGGAGTTAAACCCCGGCAGCACCGGCAATTCACAGCGGGCGCTTACTGTGAAAATATCGCCATGTTTTTGCTTCATTTGAGACAGGAAGCTGGCAGCATCTTTTCCAAATTCCACAGCATGTCCCAGCCAAGGAACAAAGCCTCTGTCAAGTGGAGGTTCACTCGGTAGCCTGGAAAAAAAGATCGGTAAAAGCTCTTAAAGCCCTGTGGAAGGATTGCCCTACAGTTACTTAATAACCATTGGTACTTAAACTCCTGCATTCCAGCATGTTATGGGTGTGTCAGTGTGAAACGACATTACCATCTGCACCTTGCTTTGTTTCACAGATCAACCATGCTTTGGAACATCACATGAATAGAATTATATGGCCAGATTGCATTCTGGCTCCCCCAGTCTGAATCTTTTTATGTCTCCAGGGCTCCAAAGACGTAACCCCCAAAAGGACTTGTCATTACTATCCTGAGTCATAAAGGAGTGGGGACTAGTTAGCAGCTCAAAGGAAGGGTTTGTGGGTTGTTGTTTTTTTTTAATTTACTGGAAGTATCTCAGATTTATGCTGGTTAAACAATATAATAGTGCGCATAAGCGTTAATGACAAAAAGATATTAATTTGTGGGTTTATTTCTTTCTAATATAGCTAATATAAAAGAAGAAATTAAATGGAAATACCTAAGTGCATTAAAATAATCCTATGGGTCTTGCAAACTGACAAAGGACTGAAATTTTAGGATTTAAAGCTGTTATGCTATGGCATCTGTAATTCACCAGACTAAGGCCAGGTATGTCAATAACATATATACCACAAGGGATATGTTTACAAAGCAAAGAAAAAACCAGGGCTGGCCCGTGCCAACCAACTTGGGCTCACAGGGCTCGGGCTGCGGGGCTATTTGATTGAAGCATAGACTTCTGGGCCTGAGCTGGAGCCCAGCTTGAATCGGCTGGCTCAGGCAAGCCACGTGGTTTTTTGGGGTAGGTCTACACAGCAAAAGGTAAGCGTGTTAAGGAAAAGACAAAGATATACGGGGGCAAATGTTACATCCTTTCCCCTTACTTCTGCAGTTTTTGGTTCTGGATTCTAAGTGCTTTAGACCAGGAATCTGCCATACTCTGTTCTAAGAGAGACAAGACGGGTAAGGTAATATTTTGTACTGGATCAACTTCTGTTGGTGGAAGGGGAAAGCATTCAAGCTACACAGAGCTCTTCTTTGGGTCTACAGCACGGCTACAACACCACTGCAAACATGCTCTGTTCTGTAAAGACTCGAGCACATTTTTGGGTGTTGGAAAAACAATAAATCATAATTCTACAGCAACACGTATAGGGTACTTTCTCAATCCTACGCAATACCAAGGCACAATGGGATGCAGTAAACTGAGCACTGTCAACCTTGAAAGATCCCTACGATACTGGAAAAACAACCGCAATTCCGAAATGAGGGCTGCCATGCTGTTAAAATATCAGGGCAACCCAAACAAACCCAGAGTGCATAAGCACCTGATGCCCGTGCATTCAGATCGCTCCATTGTCACAAACGCGCTTGAGGTTTCATTGCTCCGAGGATATGAAAATTGGCAGGAATCTGACTGTTTGGAACTTCTGGAAGGAAAATAGGAATCTTGTCCTTTTAATTCCCCTGCCAACTCAAAGGGAGCAGAGATGGTATGAGGTGCCCATGTGGTTCCCTGAGCAAGGCAAATCCAATACTGTACCCTCAGTTACTTGTTGTTGGGTCACCCACTCGAGGAGCTGGGATTTGAACACTGTTACAGCCTTCATTTTGAAGGGTCAGGATCACATTCTGACCTCCTTATCACTCGTGTAAAGAAGTAAAGTCAATGGAATTACTCCAGATTCACACCACCAGTATAGCCAATGACAGTCTGGCCCAATGACAGTGAAATAACTACCAGGGAACATTTTCAAAATGCCAAGTATTAGTTACGATGCAAGGGGGTGTAAAGAAGGGCCTATGTGGAGCCAAACAAATTTAAGATTGGGGTCTTTAGCAACTCAGACCATACCCTGGGATCTTTCAGAATGAGAGAATTTTACACAAACCCCATTAAACATGGAATCTGCTCTGATTTCGACTGATTACTGCGGTGTTCATCCTAATCAGCAGATTCAGATTGCCAATCGGTGGTGCCCTGGCTCAATAACTAGCAATGCGTGAATCTCACAGAGATCAAGGTTTTGAAAACTTGAATCAATTCACAGCTCTGTAGAAGGAGATTGAGTTTGCAAACTTTTTTTCCACTGTCATTTAAACCTATGGGTTATACTCCTCCCCCAGAGAATAATTCAGAAGCGTTTTTAAAACTTGTTTTTCCTATCTAGAGGGAATCCTGTGCAACCTATTAAGGACAAAATAACATTCCCTAAAAGTGAGGCTGGCGCAAGCCCATGCCCTATACAGTCGCTATTTTCCTTTCTCCCCTTCTCCTATGTATTCACATTTCCCTTCATCCATATTTTTTCACGGGATTCATTCCCCCTCCTTTCTGCTCCTCTTTTCACAGTGACCCCTAAGCAGACCCCACTGGTTTCCGGCTAGAGATTTACATAAGTAGGGACTGCAGCGCCAGGGCCCGAACTTATCTAGCGAGGAGAGGGCGGCATTTGGTATATAAAAGACTGAACCCCCCTCCCCACACCCTACCCCACCTGCGGTAGCCTGCAACCCATCAGTGACCGGGGTTCTGGCCTATGATGGTTCAATGGGGTTTGGAGAAGAGACCTGAGAACAGAGCTCCCTCTTGCTCCCCGCGGACACCCATCCGCGTGTAGCCACCCCAATCCCATGCTGACGGTGGGGCCAGGCCCACCTGCAGCTGCTCGGCGATGGGCAGGAGCAGAGCCGGCAAGGCAGGACCTCTGTTTACCTGGGGCCACACCGCGCCCGTCACCGTGGTCTCGGTACCCCGATCACTGGAGCCGGGCGCTGGGGGACCCTCCCCCCGCCCACGCAGGCTGCCCCGGGCTGCCCTGTCTCTGGGCACAGGTGCAGGCTGGTCACTCACCGCGTCCGCCGGGAGCGCAGCAGCAGTAGCAGCAGCAGGGTGCCCAGCAGGGCGGCGGCCAGAGACCAGCACATGGCGCGGCTGATCGCCGGGACCCCGCCGGAGGAGCCGCTGCCTCGGTCACCGCCACTCCGGTGTGGCCAGCCGGCCGGCCGAGCCCCTAACTCTTAGCTGCCTTGGTCTCCTCCCCTTCCGTCCCTCCTGGCCGGGCCGGACCAGCCCCGCTGGAGCCGTGGGAGGCTGCCCCACTGCCGGCTACGCGCTGGCTCCAGCCCTGAGCGCGGGGGCAGAGCCCCCCCGTCCCCACCGCTGGGGGAAGCTCTCCAGCCCGGCTGGCAAGGGGCTGCCCCTCGCCGGTTCCCCCCCGCCCCTATGGGATTTCAGGGAACTGAAACCAGACATCTAGACCCTGGTCCCCGGCTCCGGATCACCATTCCTCACTGGGAGCCCGAGAGAAACCCACAGTAACTTGTGAAGGGGCAAACCCACCCCCTTCTAGCCCTCCACACACACACAGGCTCCAGTTTCAATCGGCACCCTAACCCCAGCAGTCAAACTAGACTGTGCAAAACCAGAACGAGCCCTCCCCAAATAGCGGCCCAGACACAGATCCCTGTGTAAAGGGAAAGCCCAGCAAATCCCTCTTGGAAAGAGCGCCCCCAAACCCCGATTTCCATTTTATTTTCTGTTCTAATCTCCTTCCCACACTCTTCCCTGTAGCGCCAAGACACCAACTAGCCTCTTGTTCGGAGAGCATCCTGCAGCGCAAGCACTAGATAAATAACAGGCACCAAGTATCTCTGTTTATTCAGAAGCCTTTCTATGATACTCATCACTGTAGACTCAAGCGGTTTTTCCCTGCCCCTCTTTTGAAGGGAAATTCTAAGCAAGCAAACGGTGCAGCAGAGAAGAAATTTGCTCATTACTTCATCATTTACCTCGATGGGATTCTGGGCACTTTATCCAACTGTTTTTGCAAAACTCTTTTAAATTAAATACTAGTCATGCCGATTTTATTAATCATCTGAAGTATTTTTATTACTTTTTTATAGCACCCACAAGTGTATGTATGATGCACTTCACAAAAGACACTTAAAAGATTGATGGAGCTTCACATCTAATGAATGGCTATGACTGACAGACAATATATAACCAAGGCCCTGTGAATGCCACAGCAAGATGGACCTTGCTTAAAAGACCTTTAGTTACTCTGGTAATCCGGTGTGGCACACTGGCTATTCTGGAGAAGCTTCAGGATTATGTGGTCGCTCATTTCTGGATATGCATATGTCTTGATGGTTCAAAACAATTAATATTCATTACAATACCATGAACACACTCATTTTTATAAGCAATTCTGCAAATGTGTCAATTATTATTTCTTATTATTTGTGTTTGGAGGCACCTGGGAGCCCCATTCATAGATCAGAGCCCCATTATGCAAATACATAACAAAGAGACAGGCCCTGCCCCAAAGAGCTTGTCTCCATAGTCTGCAGCCAGTGCCTTTTTAAACATCTCTGTAGGTGCCATTATGTAAATAATTATTATTACTAATACATACACAAGAATCTGCCCTTAGGACCCTATACAATGACCATTTATCTCATACCAAGGTACTGACCCTGCAGTACTTACTGAAGCAAAATTCTCATGGCAATCAGGAAGAGCATAAGGACAGCAGGCTGGGTCCCCAAATGGCTGGTCGCTTTAATCAAGGACAAACGGGAAGTTACTGCAGCAGACTGTCAGTTGCTTGCTGAACTGTTATTGACCTCACTGTTGGAGGTCTGTTGGAGAACAGACCACTGACAACAAGATAAAGACTTTCTCTAAAACTAGGTTGCTGGGGTTTTTTTAAGTCTTGTGACAAAGTTCCTCCTCTGCCTTGGTGGGTCCTGCGCTTATTGGCGGATTTGCTTGCCTCTGAGATTCAAGACAGCCCTCAGTCTGGCCACTTTTGCTTGTGGCTCAAACCTGCTGTTCACTCAGCTAACCTCATCACTGGCCAGCATGGGGAAAGGGAGGAGAACAATCCCTGCAGTCTCTGCTGACCCACCTAGTGGGTCTGGGGACAGGCCAGAGACCTTCCCCTCTGGTGGGACTCACAGTCCAGGTCAACTCCTCTTGTATCAAATAGGGAGTTGGAGGGATGGGAGGAACCCGGGTCTGCCCTCTACTCCGGGTTCCAGCCTGTGGATTGCAGCTGTCTGCAGTGTCTCCTGTAACAGCTGCATGACACAACTCCCTGGGCTACTTCCCCATGGCCTCCTCCCAATACCTTCTTTATCCTCATGGCAGGACCTTCCTCCTGATGCCTGATAACACTTGTACTCCTCAGTCCTCCAGCAGTCCACCTTCCCACTCTCAGCTCCTTGTGTGCCTCTTGCTCCCAGTTCTTTGCACGCCCCTCACTGACTGAACTGAGGTCCTCTTTAAACCAGGTGCCCTGATTAGCCAGCCTGTCTAAATTGATTCTAGTAGCTTTATGATTGTTCTGCAGCCCATTATCTTACTCAGGGGAAAGGGACCTGCTTAATCTGGGGCTAATGTATTTACCTTCTATCACTCTCCTGTAACCATCTGGCCTGACCCTGTCACAGTCTATAGAAATAGGTGGTTTGTCATTGTCTGAAATATTCTTTGCTGAGCTGTTAAAATAGAAAGATGGTTTTCCTGGCAGAGACATGTTCTTTTTAGTGTAACTTACACCCTGATGAGTTATTTTATAATCTGAGAGAACTGGAGTCCGATTCTGACCCCATACTAGTTTTATACCAGTGTGACCGCTGACATCCAGTGGTCTTGCTTTGCATTTTCACACATGGAAAAAAGGAAGAATCTGACCCTGTTCTTTTTCTTTGGAATTAATACTTCTGTTCATGTCTGGTGTGAAAGGTTCTTTCCTCTGTAAGAAATAGGTCCCAAGACATGGGAAACAAAAATTATATATTATTTAAACTACTATGAACCTATTGCCTGGGGTGGGGAGAAAAATCCATTTCTCCCCATCATTCCACCCCTACCTAGCTGCAGATAATCAACTTTGTTTCTAACCGGAACTATATAAATGTATATATGTATGTTATTGTTATAGAGGTATACTAAAAAGGCAAAGGAAGAACAACAGTTCCTATAGTAACCATAGCAGAAGCAATTATGACCCTCTGTAAGGCATACAACTATTTTAAAACACATTTTTTTTTCAACAGGCTGAAAAGCTAATGAAAGAACCAGGTTTATATATATTATTGTGTTTTCTTCAACTGTTGTGAAAGGTAGCCTGTATTTTTATGAGCAGATTGACATCATAATCAAAAATGTTCTGTTTCAAAATGGTCAATATAGAATAAATGTATGTTGACAACAGCACTAGAGGCTTGTTTCTAACAAATAAATTAGAGGAGTACATTACAGTTAATTTTGGTAGTTACTAAATGGCTTTTGGAAAGCATCTGCGACAGTAAAAGAGCTCCAGTTGAACTGGATTGGATATCCGTGGGGATCTTCCCAAGTTGTGAAAGAAAGACTTTTAGAATAAAACCTTCTAAATGTCAGAATATGGTGCTTTTTAGGAGGGGGAGAATGGCAACAATGTTACCTATCACTTGTAAAAGGTGTTGTCCAATTAATTAACTGGGAAGCAAAACACAAAAAGAACCAGTGATTGCAGTGATTTGCAGAATCTGCCCCAGCTGAGAGAATATTAATAAAAATATACTACATAAAGAGCATATTCAACTAAATTGTTTCCCAACACATTTCCAGCATGGCTGTGCATTATGTCCTATGATGATGACTGAGTTTAACCTTAAGGCTAAATAGAAACACCCCCCCACACACACACACACACTGGGTTTTACATGCAAATAGGTTGTAATCAGGTGAGCAGTCACCTGGGTCTTTGGGTTCAGGGACTGTCTTTTTGTTCAGTGCTTGTACAGCACCTAGGACAATAGGCATCTGGTCCATGACTGGGCTAATAGGCACCACTATAAAGAATACCCAGCCATGCAAACAAGGAGTCAGGCTTATGTATATGGATGCACTTGTAAATATTTTGGGTACATTTTGGGTGACCCCTGAAAGTTGGGTCCCCAACCCCTAAGATTCTATGCAAACACTGAAGAAGTTAACATTTTCCTTCTGTGCTGAATACTGCACTAAAACATAGTGAACACTATGCCCCAAACTCATCTTGGGTTTAACTCCACTGACGGTTGGAGAAAGTCTAAAAAATGCTTTGGAAAATAAAAGAAAGGCAGGATACCAATTTGATGCTTTATATCAGGAGGGGATCCTGTTTTGTTGGCAATAACCCACGTAGACTTATTTTCTACAAAGAAAACTGAACCACAGCAAATATAGAGGCCGAATCTGAAATAAAGCCAACTTTACTGGCATCTTTGAAAAGAAACAATGATACAAAATACAGAACAAATTCATCCAGGGCGTAACTTCACTGAACTCTATTATCTCTTTACTTTTGTCTGACTTTCATTCCATTCTTAGCCAAAGAACCAACATATTTACCTATATAAAGATTGTTATGGAGTAAATTGGGGAAGTGCTGTTAACTTCAGTAGAGCGACATCATTTTATACCAGCTGAGGATCCATCCCTATGTTAGCCACTGCTCATAATTACTGTAAGCTGTTCCATGCAACAAATGTGTTTTCTCAACTGATTGCTGTACAAAGCATGTGATGTGAGTACAGAGTAGAGAAATGGAATGGGTGGATTGCACTGTCTGTATGAACAATGCTGAATGTATTTTGTTGGCATGCTTGCAAACAGCACCATGTGCATTTACATTTATTCCAACTCTTTCCTTGTGTACCTATTAGGGGAGAAAACAGTACCGAGACAAAAACTCTAGAGCTGGAAGATTTCTTAACTTGGAATTTGAATAATGGGACAGATATCAGCTTGTGTACATTAGCATGTTTACGCTTACTTCACCAAAGCTACGCTGATTTATACCAGCTGATCTGGCCCAATGAGTTAATACAGATCTTGTACCAACATGTTTCCCAAATTCACTAACTGGTGGTCAGTCATTTTAAGTGCTATACTAGGGATAACAGAGAACAACACAGTAGAAAATAGAGACAAAAAAATCACTAACAGTGTCAATAATAATTTGAAACTTAACCGGCGAGGTAAAGGATGTTTCCCTGGTGCTCTTCCCACGGTATAATTTCATGCTTTGGAAGTGATGTTCACTGCAGTGTTATGGTCTTCCAGAATGGCCTATACATGTATGGCTTTTGCAAAATGAAA